GATCTCTCGGTTATGGTGGCTAGTCAAAATTGGTGCTATTTGAATAAGGGTGTCTGACTGACTATTCTTCTTACAGAGTCACAATGAATGGGCAGCAGGAGGCGTTAATAAATCTACTGCCCGTGTTAGCTACGGAATAATTAGAAGTTAATTAGTTCTGGGTGGTCAAATGGAAACCGTGGATATGATTTCAGTTTTTTGCAGGCGGTCGACCTACACCCATCTTTCTAGGTCTTATCTATGTGTCGAATCGAAAACAGATGTAAGAATGCATATAACACCTTCGTTTACGGGCTAGGGCTTAGAGAGACGCTTCTGCAACGTGGTCCGTTGGCTAGTACCATAAAAAGCAATGATTTTGTTAACACCTTACACATTTACTATATTTTAAATAACCCACTACTCTTGTTGGTCAGACCTACTTGTGAAGCGGTGAGTTTATGAGATCTATCGGAAGAAACAACCTGCCTCGGTTTCAAGCAAAACAACAAAGAGGAAAGCCAAAATCAACATACAATATCACGTTTCGTGCGCGTCATCAAATACCTTGTCACGTGAATGCCTTGGTTGGTATCATGACTGACTGTGACAAATGTTTACGCTGAAAATTACACATAAAAGAAGCTGAAATACGCTATCCAAAGTTCCCACTGAATTACCTGATTAACTGAAACCGCATTTGCCAGCGAACAATTCGTGGAGGACATATTAGAATATGTGAACATTTGTCTTCAATCTGTGAACCCAATCTTGTAAGTTACAGGAGACACTTGCAGATAACAAGAACTGACGTAACCAGGATAAAGTGTACAGCGAGTTCCATCAGTTTTCAAAATGTACCCGGTAAAGAAAATGGGTGACAGAGTGAGCTCATTAGTTTTGCTGTAAGAGATTGTACGGAACCTGGTTTTCCCATCGGAACTGAAGCAAACAGTTGTGAAGTTCAAATACTTCCCGACGTTCTGTCCCACACTATGTGATTCATGCACCTGAGTTGAGGCGGGTTTTTTCCCGTTCCACTTATATTCATGCTAGTGATAGTGCTGGCGAGAGCCTTGTCGATCTGGAGTACGCAGATGACATCGCCCTCATCTGTGAAGACCATAGCGAAGCACAAGCCCTGTTGAATAAACTGACCGCCATCATAGCATCATTTGGCATGCGCCTTGCACCTTCAAAGTGCAAAGTCCTGCTTCAGAACGTGCCATCTGCGAACATATCCCTTACGATTCAAGGAGAACCACTGGAGATTGTGGAAAACTTTACGTACCTCGGTAGTTG